CACTTATATTGAGAAGTACAGGGTGTCGGGTGTAGGCTTCGCAGGGGAACAAGTAGTCAGAACAGAGGCAGCTGTTTCCCATACACGGTGTAAGAAGGCAAACGGAATCGAAACTCGGGGAGAGCATGATCGCTGGCATATTGCCACACATTCTTCTTTGGGGGGTAAGCTCTCTCGTGCACTCCACTGCTTCAAGAGAGCGGTCTTAGGCTTTCGCAGAGACCTGGGGCTTGAAGTTGTCGGCGATGACCCGGAAGACGAGAGCCACGTCCGCTGCGGAAGACCTCCAGTGGCGAGCTCACGAGGATCGGCTCTGCAGCAGGTTCGCAAACCGGTGGATTGAAGCGCACGCGTCCCTTCCGCATGAGCTCCGCTCTGCTCCAAGGAGGGCTACTGCTAGGCGCCCGGGCACGTAGTTGAAGGTCTGCAGCGCGGAAGTGGTCGAACCTACCTGCAGCACCGGACGGAGCTTCGCGCTGAGCTACGGAGATGTCGGAGCTGGCACCGGTGAAGGAAGCCTCAGAAGCTTCGCGAAGTCCGTCCCGGAGTGGCCGAAAGTCCGTGCATAGAGGGTTTAGCACTTCTGGCGATACATGTACGAATACTGAACGAGACATAGATGTCCCGTACACGACATAAGAAAAATTATATCGGTGAGTGAGCTTAATGACGGAATCGACAACATATGGAGTACACTGCCCTGAAGATTTGTGGCTCAACATATCCATGCATTGTACGTGGAGCTTCTTTTCCGTTCACTGTAAGACTGTACACTGCACTTATATTGAGAAGTACAGGGTGTCGGGTGTAGGCTTTGCAGGGGAACAAGTAGTCAGAACAGAGGCAGCTGTTTCCCATACACGGTGTAAGAAGGCAAACGGAATCGAAACTCGGGGAGAGCATGATCTCTGGCATATTGCCACACATTCTTCTTTGGGGGGTAAGCTCTCTCGTGCACTCCACTGCTTCAAGAGAGCGGTCTTAGGCTTTCGCAGAGACCTGGGTCTTGAAGTTGTCGGCGATGACCCGGAAGACGAGAGCCACGTCCGCTGCGGAAGGCCTCCAGTGGCGAGCTCACGAGGATCGGCTCTGCAGCAGGTTGCAGGTCCCTTCCGCATGAGCTCCTTTGCTCCAAGGAGGGCTACTGCTAGGCGCCCGGGCACGTAGTTGAAGGTCTGCAGCGCGGAAGTGGTCGAACCTACCTGCAGCACCGGACGGAGCTTCGCTCTGAGCTACGGAGATGTCGGAGCTGGCACCGGTGAAGGAAGCCTCAGAAGCTTCGCGACGTCCGTCCCGGAGTGGCCGAAAGTCCGTGCATAGAGGGTTTAGCGCTTCTGGCGATACATGTACGAATACTGAACGAGACATAGATGTCCCGTACACGACATAAGAAAAATTATATCGGTGAGTGAGCTTAATGACGGAATCGAAAACATATGGAGTACACTGCCCTGCACATTTGTGGCTCAACATATCCATGCATTGTACGTGGAGCTTCTTTTCCGTTCCCTGTAACACTGTACACTGCACTTATATTGAGAAGTACAGGGTGTCGGGTGTAGGCTTTGCAGGGGAACAAGTAGTCAGAACAGAGGCAGCTGTTTCCCATGCACGGTGTAAGAAGGCAAACGAAATTGAAACTCGGGGAGAGCATGATCGCTGGCATATTACCACACATTCTTCTTTGGGGGGTAAGCTCTCTCGTGCACTCCACTGCTTCAAGAGAGCGGTCTTAGGCTTTCGCAGAGACCTGGGTCTTGAAGATGTCGGCGATGACCCGGAAGACGAGAGCCACGTCCGCTGCGGAAGGCCTCCAGTGGCGAGCTCACGAGGATCGGCTCTGCAGCAGGTTCGCAAACCGGTGGATTGAAGCGCACGTGTCCCTTCCGCATGAGCTCCGCTCTGCTCCAAGGAGGGCTACTGCTAGGCGCCCGGGCACGTAGTTGAAGGTCTGCAGCGCGGAAGTGGTCGAACTTACCTGCAGCACCGGACGGAGCTTCGCTCTGAGCTACGGAGATGTCGGAGCTGGCAAAGGTGAGGAAGGCTCAGAAGCTTCGCGATGTCGTACCGGATGTGGCCCGAAAAGTCCGTTGCCATAGCGGGTTTAGCGCTTTCTGGCGATACAATGTCGAATAACTGAACGAGACATAGACTGTCGTACACGGACATAAGAAAAAATTATACGGTGAGTTGAGCTTAATGACGATCGAAAACATATGGCGTACATGCCCTGCACATTTGTGGGCTCAAAACATATCCAGGAGTGTAAGTGGCCGCTTCTTTTCCGTTCACTGTAACACTGTACACTGAACTTATATTGAGAAGTACAGGGTGTCGGGTGTAGGCTTTGCAGGGGAACAAGTAGTCAGAACAGAGGCAGCTGTTTCCCATACACGTTGTAAGAAGGCAAACGGAATCGAAACCCGGGGAGAGCATGATCGCTGGCATACTGCCACACATTCTTCTTTGGGGGGTAAGCTCTCTCGTGCACTCCACTGCTTCAAGAGAGCGGTCTTAGGCTTTCGCAGAGACCTGGGTCTTGAAGTTGTCGGCGATGACCCGGAAGACGAGAGCCACGTCCGCTGCGGAAGACCTCCAGTGGCGAGCTCACGAGGATCGGCTCTGCAGCAAGTTTGCAAACCTTAAGATTGAAGCAGGTCCCTTCCATGAGCTCCTTTGCTCCAAGGAGGGCTACTGCTAGGCGCCCGGGCACGTAGTTGAAGGTCTTCAGCGCGGAAGTGGTCGAACCCACCTGCAGCACCGGACGGAGCTTCGCTCTGAGCTACGGAGATGTCGGAGCTGGCACCGGTGAAGGGAAAGCCTCAGAAGCTTCGCGGAAAGTTCCGTCCCGGAGTGGCCAGAAAGTCCGGCATAGAGGTTTAGCGCTTTCTGGCGATACAGTACGAATACTGAACGAGGACATAGGATGTCCCGTTACACGACATAAGGAAAAAATATTATCGGGAGTGAGCTTAAGAAGGAATCGAAAAACATATGGCGTACACTGCCCTGAAGATTTGTGGCTAAACATATCCATGCATTGTGACGTGGAGCTTCTTTTCCGTTCACTGTAACACTGTACACTGCACTTATATTGAGAAGTACAGGGTGTCGGGTGTAGGCTTTGCAGGGGAACAAGTAGTCAGAACAGAGGCAGCTGTTTCCCATGCACGGTGTAAGAAGGCAAACGAAATTGAAACTCGGGGAGAGCATGATCGCTGGCATATTACCACACATTCTTCTTTGGGGGGTAAGCTCTCTCGTGCACTCCACTGCTTCAAGAGAGCGGTCTTAGGCTTTCGCAGAGACCTGGGTCTTGAAGTTGTCGGCGAGGACCCGGAAGACGAGAGCCACGTCCGCTGCGGAAGGCCTCCAGTGGCGAGCTCACGAGGATCGGCTCTGCAGCAGGTTCGCAAACCGGTGGATTGAAGCGCACGCGTCCCTTCCGCATGAGCTCCGCTCTGCTCCAAGGAGGGCTACTGCTAGGCGCCCGGGCACGTAGTTGAAGGTCTGCAGCTCGGAAGTGGTCGAACCTACCTGCAGCACCGGACGGAGCTTCGCTCTGAGCTACGGAGATGTCGGAGCTGGCACCGGTGAAGGAAGCCTCAGAAGCTTCGCGAAGTCCGTCCCGGAGTGGCCGAAAGTCAGTGCATAGAGGGTTTAGCGCTTCTGGCGATACATGTACGAATACTGAACGAGACATAGATGTCCCGTACACGACATAAGAAAAATTATATCGGTGAGTGAGCTTAATGACGTAATCGAAAACATATGGAGTACACTGCCCTGCAGATTTGTGGCTCAACATATCCATGCATTGTACGTGGAGCTTCTTTTCCGTTCACTGTAACACTGTACACTGTACACTGCACTTATATTGAGAAGACAGGGTGTCGGTGTAGGCTTTTTGCCGGGGAACAAAGTAGTGCAGAACAGAGGCAGCGTTTACAATAAACGGTGTAAGAGGCAAACGGAATCGAAACCATCGGGGAGAGCATGATCGCGGGGCATATTGCCACCACCTTCTTCTTTGGGGGGTAAGCTCTCGCGTGCACTCACTGCGTCAAGAGAGCGGTCTTAGGCTTTCGCAGAGACCTGGGTCTTGAAGTTGTCGGCGATGACCCGGAAGACGAGAGCCACGTCCGCTGCGGAAGGCCTCCAGTGGCGAGCTCACGAGGATCGGCTCTGCAGCAGGTTCGCAAACCGGTGGATTGAAGCGCACGCGTCCCTTCCGCATGAGCTCCGCTCTGCTCAAAGGAGGGCTACTGCTAGGCGCCCGGGCACGTAGTTGAAGGTCTGCAGCGCGGAAGTGGTCGAACCTACCTGCAGCACCGGACGGAGCTTCGCTCTGAGCTACGGAGATGTCGGAGCTGGCACCGGTGAAGGAAGCATCAGAAGCTTCGCGAAGTCCGTCCCGGAGTGGCCGAAAGTCCGTGCATAGAGGGTTTAGCGCTTCTGGCGATACATGTACGAATACTGAACGAGACATAGATGTCCCGTACACGACATAAGAAAAATTAAATCGGTGAGTGAGCTTAATGACGGAATCGAAAACATATGGAGTACACTGCCCTGCAGATTTGTGGCTCAACATATCCATGCATGTACGTGGAGCTTCTGTTCCGTTCACTGTGAACCACGGTACATGCCAACTATATTGAGAAGTAAGGGTGTCGGGGTAGGCTTTGCAGGTGAAAAGTAGTAAGAACAGAGGCAGCTGATTCCCATACCACGGTTAAGAAGGCAAACGGAATCGAAATCGGGGAGAGACATGATCGCTGGCATATTGCCACACATTCTTCTTTGGGGGGTAAGCTCTCTCGTGCACTCCACTGCTTCAAGAGAGCGGTCTTAGGCTTTCGCAGCGACCTGGGTCTTGAAGTTGTCGGCGATGACCCGGAAGACGAGAGCCACGTCCGCTGCGGAAGACCTCCAGTGGCGAGCTCACCAGGATCGGCTCTGCAGCAGGTTTATTGCAAACCTTAAGATTGAAGCAGGTCCCTTCCATGAGCTCCTTTGCTCCAAGGAGGGCTACTGCTAGGCGCCCGGGCACGTAGTTGAAGGTCTGCAGCGCTGAAGTGGTCGAACCTACCTGCAGCACCGGACGGAGCTTCGCTCTGAGCTACGGAGATGTCGGAGTGCACCGGTGAAGGAAGCATGTCAGAAGCTCGCAAGTCCGTCCCGGAGTGGCGAAAGTCCGTGCATAGGGGTTTAGCGCTTCTGGCGATAATTGTACGAATACTGAACGAGGACATAGATGTCCCGTACCACGACATAAGAAAAATTATATCGGTGAGTTGAGTTAATGACGGAATGCGAACATTATGGAGTCCACTGCCATGCGATTTGTGGCTCAACGATCCATGCATGTACGTGGAGCTTCTTTTCCGTCACTGTAACACTTGTACACTGCACTTATATGAGACAGTACAGGGTGTCGGGTGTAGGACTTTGAGGGAACAAGTAGTTCACGAACAGAGGCAGCTGTTTCCACATACACGGTTAAGAGGCAAAAGGAATTCGAACTCGGGGAGAGCCAGATCGATGGCATATTGCCACAATTCGTCTTTGGGGGGGTAAGCTCTCTCGTGCACTCCACTGCTTCAAGAGAGCGGTCTTAGGCTTTCGCAGAGACCTGGGTCTTGAAGTTGTCGGCGATGACCCGGAAGACGAGAGCCACGTCCGCTGCGGAAGGTGGCGAGCTCACGAGGATCGGCTCTGCAGCAGGTTCGCAAACCGGTGGATTGAAGCGCACGCGTCCCTTCCGCATGAGCTCCGCTCTGCTCCAAGGAGGGCTACTGCTAGGCGCCCGGGCACGTAGTTGAAGGTCTGCAGCGCGGAAGTGGTCGAACCTACCTGCAGCACCGGACGGAGCTTCGCTCTGAGCTACGGAGATGTCGGAGCTGGCACCGGTGAAGGAAGCCTCAGAAGCTTCGCGAAGTCCGTCCCGGAGTGGCCGAAAGTCCGTGCATAGAGGGTTTAGCGCTTCTGGCGATACATGTACGAATACTGAACGAGACATAGATGTCCGTACACGACATAAGAAAAATTATATCGGTGAGTGAGCTTAATGACGGAATCGAAAACATATGGAGTACACTGCCCTGCACATTTGTGGCTCAACATATCCATGCATTGTACGTGGAGCTTCTTTTCCGTTCACTGTAACACTGTACACTGCACTTATATTGAGAAGTACAGGGTGTCGGGTGTAGGCTTTGCAGGGGAACAAGTAGTCAGAACAGAGGCAGCTGTTTCCCATACACGGTGTAAGAAGGCAAACGGAATCGAAACCCGGGGAGAGCATGATCGCTGGCATATTGCCACACATTCTTCTTCTTTGGGGGGTAAGCTCTCTCGTGCACTCCACTGCTTCAAGAGAGCGGTCTTAGGCTTTCGCAGAGCCCTGGGTCTTGAAGTTGTCGGCGATGACCCGGAAGACGAGAGCCACGTCCGCTGCGGAAGGCCTCCAGTGGCGAGCTCACGAGGATCGGCTCTGCAGCAGGTTCGCAAACCGGTGGATTGAAGCGCACGCGTCCCTTCCGCATGAGCTCCGCTCTGCTCCAAGGAGGGCTCCTGCTAGGCGCCCGGGCACGTAGTTGAAGGTCTGCAGCGCGGAAGTGGTCGAACCTACCTGCAGCACCGGACGGAGCTTCGCTCTGAGCTACGGAGATGTCGGAGCTGGCACCGGTGAAGGAAGCCTCAGAAGCTTCGCGAAGTCCGTCCCGGAGTGGCCGAAAGTCCGGGCATAGAGGGTTTAGCGCTTCTGGCGATACATGTACGAATACTGAACGAGACATAGATGTCCCGTACACGACATAAGAAAAATTATATCGGTGAGTGAGGTTCTGCGGAGCTTCTGAGCTGCCGGGGACCCGTCGGCCTTGGCCATGGGCTGCGGCCGCCTTCGTTTCGGGTCCTGTCAACTCGTATGGCCCAGAAGCGGCTCAGCCGTTTCCGTGGGAGGCTCCCGTTGCCGAGTTGGACCCTGCAGGGGTGCCTCTGGGCTTCTGGGCTTCGGCGGCTCAGTGGACCCCTCTACGTCAGAAACTCCGGACCCCGCATCTCTGCCGACCCTGCCTGACCGCTGCAGAACGCGAAGGTTGCCAACCGCACCTCGTGGGAAGCGAGGCAGCGCGTGAGTGAGAGGACAGGAGGAAAGGACAGCTTTGGAGGCTTCAAGGCCATCCGAAGCCAGTGCAGTGCCTGGCTCGTTGCAGTGTGCCATTTCAATCGCCTCAAAACACGGTTCCTGAACTCACTGCAGATCGCGAGCTCAGCCAGCGGCAGCCGCAGTGCCTTCGCCCTTTACCCCGTGAAGGCCTTCACCTGAAAGTGCCGAAGCCAGACTTCAGAGTCGGAAGGCTAAGCGGCTGCGGTCAGGGAATGTGGGAGAAGCTGGATTAGAACTAGCTCTGCGGTCAAGGGATGGCCTGATTGCGCCTGCACCACATATAGATAGCAAACAAGACGAACGGAGTAATGAAAGCGCAGCCCGAAGCGCTTATGAAAGCTGAAAGCTCCACTTTAGCCAGGGATACCGAGGTGTCGCTGCGGGTGCCCGGGAGCGAGTGGGACTCGGCCTGGCGAAGGCACCAGAGGCATGTGATAGGCTGACTCATGGGTTGGGAACTTCGATCTGCAGGGATGCGCCAGTCAGGAAGGTGATGACGTCCGAATTTGTGCCAGAACTTAAGATGCCCACAGCCGCAACATCCCCCCGGCATCCTTTCTTTGCCTTCGTGGAGCCGTGCATCTAGTGAATTTCATATGCCATCATCTTAGCACGTCAGACGCGCACGCATCAGATCTTGTTGCTGATGCCTGCGGTGGTAATCGTTTCTTCGCTTCTCTAAAGCTGGAAACATAGACGTGGAAGTGCCATGGGAAGGGCTTCTTGTGAGGCCTTGGCCAGACCCTGGCCGCACTACAGCCGAGCCCTGGCCCATCCGGGTTTGGCTCACGCAGCCACGCGATGTCGCCTCAAGCAAGGCTCGGAGCATGGCCAGGCGATCGTCTTCGGCCGTCAGGTGCGCCAGACGCCCGATCACTTCTCCGGGCCTCGACAAACAGAAGGGGCATTGAAGGGAACCCAGCTCGAGGCTCGAAGCTAAAGCTATACTAATGCCTATGTTACCTCCCTTGTCTAGGCACTATCATATGGTAGAGCCGGGAGTCCAGTTGAGTCCCGGAATCTGAGGCCGGCACTGCGGCCCTCGAAGTGCTGCGTCTTCACGCGGCCCTTCATCTTGATAGACGGCGCACCACCTCCACGCGATCCTGCTGCTGCCAATCCATGCGGATGAGATTCGTCGCTTCCTGCGCAAGCCTCCGATTCATCAGAATCAATGTTTAAACATCGCATGTGCAGGCAGTGCGGGCCGCAGACATGCCAAACTCCGACGTGGCCTGCCTCTGGAACATCGCATCTCGCTCCCGCGCCCGTCGAGCTGCGCTGTCGCGGCGCCGCTGGCCGCGTGGTGGCTCGGATGGCAGTACCTGCAGCCGCCGAGCTGCCAGTGCTTGCACTTCCCCTCTTGTTGCACGGCCTCGACCGGGAAAGGAGGGAAGGGACTGAAGAAGCCGGCAGAAAAGGGCCCTCCCGACCCACGATGCCCGGCCTGCACAGTTGGGATGCCGCGCTTTTCCAGGGTTTTGGGTGTCTTGGGGGAAGCTGGCGGCCTCGGCCTCGGCTTGGGACTGCGGAATGGTCGTATTGGGCTTCCCGCCGCCGTGGTGCTCGGGGTCGGGAAATCCTCAAGCACCGGCACTGGCGCCAGCTGCGCCAGTGGCGCCAGGACCCGTGGCAAGTTGAAGGAAGATAGCCGGCTTCAGGTGGGCTTTCGGGATCGCGGCTTCGCCAGAAGATCTCATCGTCCGTGGTGCTATGGCAAGTCTGCTCAGCCAGCTGGGAGGCCACAAATTCTAGCTGCCAGCTATAACCTTGAGAGGGAAGGCACAACATAACGAGACGCAGCTTGCGTACTGCTTGGGCTCATGCGGTGGCTGCAGGTGCCTCGTAGCGGATGATGGGAGACCCACCGTCGAAGGACGGTGCTGTCCAGCTTACTACAGTCTGTGTGCCTCAGTAAGCATGCAGCGGTGCCGCACGCACAAAAAGCCGCGGTTTGGGGCCCATGCGGGAGTCGTGCGTGAATGTCACGGCTGTCGGCTTACCAGGGAGCCCAGCCGCCAACATCGTGGCCTCGGCGAGCAGAGGGTGGGAGGACTCTTCCCTCCATTCGAAGCCAAACATGGAGAAGCCCGTCCTTCAACCAGGTAACGCAAGTGTCAATGCACACCCTCGCAACTAGTCGAGGTTGTCACGGTGTCCGACCGCGGGCTCTCTCCGGCATTGTTCACCGCTGTCACCTGGAAGTGGTACCTCTGGGCTCGTAAGCTGACGACTATTCACTGCATGTCCGCGAAGCTGTGCGCAGCTCAGCTACCAACCAACAGACCAACTCACCAAGTTATCATTTCACAGACCGCGAAGTGCAGCAACTTGAAGCTCATGAAACCAGGAAGCATGACGCAGCGCCGGTGGAACGGATCGCTTTCACCATGAATTGTGCCCTATACCATACCAGTACTTGAAAGCCACGGGCTGGGACGAAAACTCTAGCAGGGGCAGGGCTGGCGAAACGGAGCTCACACGAACAAACACAAAAACGAATATCGGTTGCGGGCCCTTGCTGCACTGTCGAAGCTCGTCGCAGCTTTTTCTCACAAGGCAACGGCTGCCACACGACTCGGCTGAGAAAGTTGCAGAGAACAACCCGGGAGGGAGCAGCTTTGATGCAGCATGTTAATAAGAGCAGTTTTGACCCAACATATTATAACTCCTTGCCAGACAAAGACTGCGACAAGTGAAGCAGGTTTTGACCCAACATACCAGCTTCTCGCCAAACATAGACAGACAGACATGTTGCAGCACGCCTAGAGCAAGAATGCTAGAGGCGTGCACACACAACGTGGCCACGATACGACCAGCATCCGCAGCATACGACCAGCATCAGCAGCATCAGCCAACACGCCCAGGCCAGCATCAGCAGCATCAGAGGGGCTCGTTTTTCCGTCGGACGTCCAAAAAACCCTTTGGCGGCAGGGTTTTCCCAGCTCCAGGCGGGGGATAGCCGAAAAACCCACCAATTCGGGTCCACCTAACCTGGACGTGTATCCCCTCGCTATGCGTACAGGAACACAGGCTCACAGGAGTCTCTTTTCACTACAGGCGCACAGCTGTAGATGGTCGTACTCTGCTACAACTTTGAGCAACAGGCATGCATACATGCAAGTGATACGTGAAACAGACAGGCACCTGGATGTGTAACATCAGTGTTTCAACCAGGCACAAATGTAAAACACGTAGAACTGCATGGCAGTGGAGTCGGCATTCTACTAGCCTGTTATTGCCCAAGCGAATTAAGAGCGGAGTCGTTGAGCTACAAATGTGACTTGTGAGAATCTGTACTTCTCAGCTTGGAGACAGCATATCAAACGAGCAGAACACGCACAGGCAAGCGGATCTTCGGTCAAAACTCTGTTTTAAAAAATGCCCACATGTTCAGTTACCTCTCCAGATGGAAAGCATACTGATTGTGAAGCTTGGCTCCACTCGATGCCAGCAGTGGCATTTGTGGCATGGACGGTCTGAAGGAATTTAGAGTTTCTTATCCTGCGATAATTATCTCTTTTGTCCTTCGGCAAGAAGTTTTAGGAAGTACATCTTCCTGGAAAAGGCTTCTTCCTAGGAAATAGACGAAGCTCAGATTGGATATCTTCTCCTGTGAGACGCCGCACTCTTGGATCCTCATCATCATCGTACGGAAGTACTCGACGAGGATAATGTAAGC